CTGCTGATCTAGCAGTAGCCTGCAGTGCTGCATTTAACCACTGCGCCACCTTGGCTCAGTATTCTTCTGTAAGTAAAAGTACATGCCAAGGCATATTGGCTATTTGAGATATGACCAAGAGACTGGATGTGGTTTGCAGTATTCAGAAGGAAAAATCTCAATAGCAAAAAATACTGCTCAGGCATTGGTGACATAAAAAGAAAGGGGGGGGGGTAAGCCTGGTTTAAGCACAAATGAGGACACAAGGAGCTGTTTCCAGAAATTAGAAAAAAAGAGGTCAGAATAGTTTTTCCCTAGGAAATATAGATATATTTCATATTTCTGACACACAGCTTTCCACTGAAAAGGATTGAAGCAATCCACTGCTTAAGTTAGATGAAGTCATTCCAGCTTAAACATTTGATTTGAGTTTTGTTAAGATATTAACCTGATTAAAGCAAATCCATAATGATTGAAATATCCCATGTGTTCGAAATAATAACATTTTCTTTAATATGCAGCACAAACAATTAGGAGTTAATGTAATTGCATTGTAATAATCATAGACTTTTAAGTATATGATGTAAATATAATGTATCTTTCATATTAAGATGGACCTCGGCCTAATCAGAAAGAAATTCTTTCTCTGCGAGCCTGTTTACTGATGTTTATTAAGCAGTTGGTGACAAAGGTAAGAAATCTTCAAATGAGATTGTATTGTTCAGTTTTATTTTCTTACAGAGCTATTTGCCCTGCTTATTGAGTAATCTGTAATTCATATAGCACACACACCCTTTAAATAAATGAAGGCTAAGAGTACAAAATCCAAAGCAACGATGCCCTGGGCACCAGGGACCGACCGGCTCTGTAGACAGAGGTTTTGCTGTGGACTGGCGTGATTTTGTGTGCGCCTGCATCCCATGGATGGGCTTCGCTCATTTGTGCGCTCCTGTTTCTGACATGCTGCGGACTGATGCCAATCTACAAACTGAGAGTTGGGGAGCCCTGATCTAAAGGATCAATATATGGGGATGTAGAGAATCTATGTGTGGTACACATAGTCATAGGGACCTGTATGGAAATACTAATACTAACTAAAAGTAATACTGAAGTCATCTATTAATGAATCCAAAATATTTCACTAGTATTTATGTTAGAAGGCTACCTTTCTCTTCTGCTTTTAAATACATTACTTGAATTACATTTCTCTTGATTTTATCTTTTAAGGACTATGGAGTGAAAGAAGATGAACTCCAGGGCATTCTGAATTATCTTCTTACCATTCATGAGGTAAACTAAGTTAGCAACCTGCTTCCAAGAAGCTTTTGAATAAAATATTCCCTTCTACCATCCAATAACATTGAAGTAAGAAAAACATGCATAACATTGATTGAATCTACATATATGATTTAAGAATCCGTATCTTGAAATTCATTTCTGTAACAGGATTCTATAGGTTCGTTTTTTATTCATTTCATCGAACTGGAATATCAAGGAGACAATGACCGAGAGAAGAACAAATCATGAAGCTGTACCCACAAAGGATTTTTTTCTATGAAAAACAAAAAAATAATAATGCCATTTTAAATAAAGTATTTCTGGATACATGTGAAAAATGTGCCACCTGCAATAAGCCAAGCCCTTAAAATTTACGCAACTTGCTTATCCACAAGTAGCACATTTTTCATTGTATTTTGGTTAAAATGTGAGGGTCTGCTTATTTATGGATGGGTTTATCCATGATTATGCACCATCTGTATGGATATTTTTAAAAAGTATACTCCCTGATAAGCTTGTTCATGCATAAATTGAATGCAATTTTGAGGGTGAATTTTGCCACCTAAAATTCTTGGCTTGTTTGCAAGTATATACAAATAAATACAATAAAGCAGTAAGTACAAGTAAGCATTGGTTACTGTTGTAATTATCTATAGCTTCCTGCTTTTGTTTTAAGAAGAGTTTGATGCAAGTAGTAGTACAAACATTTATAAAGTAGGATATAGGTAAAGGTTCCCCTTGCACATAGTTGTTGTCGACTCTAGGTGGCGTGCTCATCTCCATTTCAAAGCCGAAGAGGCAGTGCCATTGGAACTACTCAGAACTGCTTACAGTTACGATGAGACATTTAACACCCTCAAACATCAACATCTGTCTATTCCACTGCCCTTGGAAGGGACTCGATAGGTGGATAAAAATGTGAAATCAAGGCTAAATATTTAGCTGACTATGTGATCAACAATTATAATAAAGTATTTTGCCCCTTAAACAAGAGGCAGAACAAATACAAAAATTCCATTCAGTGTATGTAATTCACAATTTAACAGACAATCTCTATTAACAACTAAAGCAAGCCCAAACACAGCCATCCTGCCTATGGAAAACATGCTAAAATATGGTAGATTGCATACACAAATTATCTATTGCTTTTATGTATAATTGTAAGATAGATACTACCCTGGGAATGCCAACATTAATATTATTATTTCTTTTAGCATAATTCTTTAGCTATTAGGTTTTATTCTGCATATGTACTGTATGTATACAGTCAAATTATGGCAGCAAACATACTATGTAATCGTATTACTTCCTATTTTCACCACAACAACAACCCTATGAGTTGAGTTGATCACAAGGAGAGTAATTGGCCCAGTGTCACCCAGCCAGGCTTCTAGACCAACCTCTTGACCACTTTTTACCAAACTGGCCCCATGTTCTCTCTTGAATCACAGTCTCTAATTCTTCAGGTGCTGTAGCTGTTATTTCTGTGCTTTCATTTTTAATTTATACTTCTTGATTTAACCTCTTTGTGTCTGGTTCTTAAGCTTTTAGATCTGACCTTCTTTGTCTTATTGTTACTTGCATGACTTTTAAATGCCTGGCTGCTAGGTTGACATTACTTGGCTCAGCTGTTTTTGACATGCTGCCACAGCAGCCATTCTAGTCTTTCAGCAAGGAGGTGGGTTGGGGGCTGGACTGTCTTTTTGATTTGCTTCTGCTGGGCTTGCAGGTGCCTGAGCTGGGTTTGGGCTGCATGCCAGAGTCTATGAAATGTAATGATGCCTACATATTTATGCTGCACCTGATCTCATTCTCCAATCGGCTCAGTCTTTGCCAGTTGGTTGGCCACTTACAAGAATTCTTTCTGCTTTCTTTCCCATCCCCAATGCCTCCTTATCCAATCTCAGTTTCTAATGTCCTCTGGTTATCTTTCTTGTGAGACTTCAGGTCTTTCTTCTGTCTTTTCTCCTTTCTTCTTTTCTTTTTCTTCTCTTCCACTTTTCCTCTTCAATGCCACCATAACTAGTTCCAGAGTCAAGCACTTTTAAAAATCCCGGTCAATCAATTCCACAGGGTGGGGCCTTAAAGGAGAACAGGTAAGGGGAGCATGGGCTTTCCATTCACTGCACATTCTTATTTATACAGTCTGCTTATATTAAACTTTCTAAATATGCTTTCTAAATATGGAGTGCGTTTATTTAGTACTTTGGTCAACTTTGTTATTGCCAATTTCTTAAAGTATCACTGGATTACAATATTATATTTATGCATTTTATAACATAGTTACTACTTGATTTTGTAAAAAATATGTGGGTTTTTTTGTATAGCAATGCTATTCGGTTTAGAACTGAAGTTTGAAATAGTTTAGCAACACATTGTTTTATATTTTTTGTATAACAGGATATGTGCTAACCAGTGGTTTTGTTGTTAGGAATCTAAAATAAGAAGCAGAAAAAGCTGTTATTTGCATAACAGTTTCCCCGCCATATTAAATTGCTTCTGAGTGTCTCTTTACTTCTGAAACTCTTTGATTTATAGCATGGAATAAATGATTGTTTTGTTTAAAATATATCAAATTTTCATGGGCCAATGCATCTATTTCCTTCATCCTAATATGGCCTGCTTTTATATATTCACTTTTTTTTTTAGTGCTTGGAGTAGGGATAACTGTAAGTTCCTTAGGTTGGTTTGTATAGATCTGAGTTAAATTTTGTTTTTTTTTTTTTTGTTTTTTTAGTTTAGACTGTCAGTTTTTTCTTACTACTGCCTCCTTTGGCTTTTATGACTTTCACCATGAAATTTTATAAGTATCCTTTACATATTTCTTATGAATATAATTACATGAATACCATTATGTGAAGCTGCGTTTTGTATTCATTAAAAAATGATACAGCCACCCATCTTGCTTTGATGACTGAATGGCTAAGAATAATTTACAACTATAACAATAAAACTCAGAAAGTTAGAAAAATAAATACTACAACATTACAGGTGGTCCTTGATTTACGACTTTTCATTTAACAGCCATAATTACTATGGACTGAAAGGAAATCATGACCCATCTCAGAACTTATACATCTTAGAACTTATGACTGCTGCACCACCCCTGCAGTCACACAATCACATTCTGGATGCTTGGCAATTGGCTGGCATTTATGACTGGTTGTAGTATCTCACAGTCACGTGAGCACATTTTGTAATGTTTTTGCCAGAAACTGCCAAAGCCACCCATTGGATAAAAGCGGATTCACACTTATGATCATATGATTCACTTAAGAATGAGGTTGATTTGCTTAATGCCTGCTGTAAAAACGGTTGTAAAATTGAGTATGATCATGTGCCTGAATTTATGACTGCAATTTACTACTAAAATTCCAATCCTAATTTTGGTCATAATTTGAGGATTATCTATAATGTAGACAAGTTCTCAAAATTGTAATCTCACAGTCATACAGACTTACAGTTGAGTTTACCTGTTTTCTTGACCCCATACCTGAGCGAACAGCAAAGATTTTAAAGCTTTTTGGAAGGCCCAAATTATTGGGGCCTACTCAGTTTTGGGCAGGAATAGAGCAAACAGTTAGGCAAGCTCTGAGTCAAAGAAAGCACTTCTGGTTCCCACTAGCTGATACTGTTTCAAGAAAATAACTTGGAACATGCCCGCTCTGCCAGTCTGATAGGACTGAAAATATCACGAATGTGTCTCAAGCATTTTCCATTCTGTCTAATCCTAAATTTAGCAAGTGCTTATTACTATGGTCATCAATGAAGAAAACACTGTGTGAAACACTTTTCTCTTTGTCTATAACAGGGGTATCAAACCTGCGTCCCGCAGGCCAGATGTGTCATGCACTGGCCATGCCCATCCCCGTTTTAGCGAAGGGGGGGGGAAGTTGCAATATGTCATGTGACAACAATGTGTCGCCGCAAATTTGACACCCCTGGTCTATAATGACAGAGGAGGAATCTAGTAGTAATTCATAAATTGATAAAAATATACAAAGTTTGAATTGCAGTATCAGCTTTAACATTAGTTTCTTTATACTTAGGATGAAAATTTAATGGATGTTTTGCAATTGCTTGTTGCTCTCATGTCTGAGCATCCCAGTTCTATGATTCCTGCTTTTGATCAGAGGAATGGATTACGGTAAGAAATAGATTCCAGTAGAAATAATAATAGTTGAATTTTTGGTTGTCTTGTCAGATAAATGTCTTTTGTTACATATTAATGTGGAAGTTACTTTGTTAAAATGTTGTCCTGTTACATATGTTTTGTGAATTCATATTCAAGAATGTAGTTTCAAAACAATAATTCTATCTACCTTTATTGTTTGAAATTGAAAAAACATCATAAAAATCAGATCTGGTGACATGGTGACCCTATTTACAACTGTCACGACCTACAACTGAAATTGTAGGGTCAATTATGGTTGTAAATTGAGGACTCACTGTATTTCTATCCCTCACTTTTCTGGATGCTGTCATATATGACTAGCAAGGGATACATGTCAAATGTTATAGTTAACATAGCTTTCTTTCAAAAAGACTGGTATGTTAAATCTATCACTTGGAATATAGACACATTAATAAATATTTACCTAACATTGTAAACTGGGCAAAAAGTTAGAAAAAGGCTGCAAATATATGGTTTCTTCAGTTTGTGTTCTCCATATATTTCAAAAACTATGTTTTTAAAAATATGTATTATTATTTTCAATAAATATTTGTGTTAAGATATTGAATTTAGTGGCTGGAACTGTAAAGTGAACAATAGGCCAGAACACACAGTTGTAGTTGATTAATTAGAGAGTGCTGACTCATGCATGATGAAGATATAAAGGGGGAGTTTCCCTCCCCCCCTCCTTTTTTTCTTCTTCTTCTTCTGCTTGGTTTAGATCAGTGGTTCCCAAACTTGGCAACTTTAAGCCTTGTGGACTTCAACTCCCAGAATTCTCCAGCCAGAAGAGTTTAGATCTTATATTCTTTCTTTTCTGGATAATGACAAAGACTTCTGTAAATTGAAATGATAAATATATTATTTTATAAGTGTAGCTTGATGGTTGCTTAAATAAACTATTTTACCCATTTACATTTTTAAAAAAATCTTTTTTAAAGTGTTATCTACAAGCTTCTTGCTTCCAAAAGTGAAGGAATCAGAGTACAAGCACTGAAGGTGATGGGCTACTTTTTAAAGCATCTGGCAGCCAAGTAAGTATTAGATGGAAAGAAAAGTAAGCCATGAAAACATCTAACTCCTGAAATATCATTTTTCTGGATTGTTTTCTATAAGTCCTTGATGTACAATCACAATTGGGACTGGAATGTTGGTCACTAAGCAATGCAATCATTAAGCAAGTCATCACATGACCAGACCAAATTTTATGACCATTTTACAATTGTTGTTAAGTGAATTGCATGGTGTTAAATGAATCACGCTGTTAAGTGAATCCAGCTTTCCCAATTCACTTTGCTTGTCAGAACATGGTTAGGAAGGTGGCAAATCATGACTCTGTGACCCCTAAATACTGCAACCATTATAAATGCCACCTGGTTGCCAAGTGTCTGTATTATAATCATATGACTGTGGGACTGGTACAAAGGTCACATCTTTGAAGACAGGTCATAAGTCACTTTTCATGAGCCCGTTGTAACTTAAAACCAATATTAAATTAATGGTTATAGTTGAAGGATTACCTGTAATTAATTTTATATTGTTGAAGGAGATATTTATTAATTACTTAGTGCTGCAATGGTCAGAACTTCAGACAGAGGTCATGAGTCCATTTCTTCAGTTCTTCAGTTGTAATTTCAAACAATCACTGAACAAGCAATCTACCTAGATTCCATTTTAGAGACAATTTGACCTTGGCCAAATATGCATCAACTAAGCATGCCCATAGCCTTTTAATATTTCCCTTGTTTTTCATTGTAATCAAACTGTAAATCTGTCATAACTTTCAAAGAAGCTAGAACATAACATAGTTTAAATTTATTTAATGTTTTTTTAATAATAAAAATTATTGCCCACCCATCTTATCAGACAGTAACTCTGGGGGGCTTATAGACATAGAAATATCTTTATTCATATACAATTAAAACATAAATAATTAAAATTAAACATTAAAATCTAAGGATACGTGGGGAAGACGAGGGCAGAGTGAGGGGAGGTGGATTCTGTTGTTAATCAACCACCTCCACTGTGCTGTTCTCCCACTTGGGCCTCAAACTAATTAGCAGAGCCACATCTTTAGGCCCCATATTTCATTTTCATATTATGAGTTCTTTGAAAGTTATTAACCGTACTTTGTTTCTGATATAAACATAGCAAGGTATTAACAAGCTTTTGCAAAGCAGGGGTTGCAAGTAGTTGTTTGTATGTTTCAATTTATTTTATAAAGACTTGATTATTTGATTATACAGATTACGTTTCCATCAGAACACTAATTTTTAAATTAAAAAATATCTCTGAGATGAGACTTGATAATTTTCCTTTTTCATAACATAAAAATCAGCTACAAACCTAAGTATAAACTAAGACTAAAATAAATGAGCATGGGGAAAAAAGGAGAATAGTTTTGATTTAAATACTGAAAATGATAGTTCTCCAAAAAATATATTCAACAAGTTATTTATTATTATTTAATTTTCCATATAATTTTAGGAGGAAAGCAGAAATTATGATTGGACATGGACTGTTTTCTCTTCTGACTGAGAGGCTTACGCTTCAAACAAACTTAATTTCCATGACTACCTACAATGTACTTTTTGAGGTAAAAGACTTAAAATATGTAGCTAAGGTGATTTAATTTATACTAATAAGTTCCAGATAATAAAATTTGGATTTTGTGTTTCTATTTCAGAGAAATACTAGTTAGCAAACATAAATGTTACACAAATATCCTTAACTTGAAAAGCAAAACTTAATAATTCAATACTTAATTTGAATAAAAAATGCTAACTTAATTAAAAATACTACTTCTATTGTCAAACATATTTCAATATCATGAAAATAAATATTTGATTGGTATGATGTCATGCAATGATATCTGTATATGTATATGCACGTGTATAAAAAAAATAGGAGCCAGGAGTATTAAATATGTTTGCTTTCTTGAACTGTGTATTTGTGTGTGTGTATGTGTGTGTATATGTTCAGAATAATATATCAAATTTTTTACTATGGTAAGTAACAAGTATGATGGAACCTTAGAGAATAACATTGAACAATCCTTCAGTTAAGATAGGAATGGGCAATTTGAGTGCCTCATATTTCTTTTTCAATCCGTCTGGAGCCTCTTCATTATTAAAATGTTAGATCTTTATTGAAAAGTCACATAACCAAAGCTCCACAGATGCTTAAAAAATAATTGTTGTGACTTCTTTCAATTTCTATCCCACCTTCTGTTCATAGAATTGATTTTGTAGTTCTCACCCTCTTGAGCCAGAGATAAAGGCTTATTGATGCTGTTTATTGTAAACAAACAATATATATTGTTTGGTGTACCAGAATGATCCAACAATAAGCCTCTTGTTGTTTTAATATTTTTTTTTTATTTATTTGCATGAACAGACTGTGTTTAAAATAGACTTTCGTAGAATTCTTAACGTTTTTCTTATTTTTCTATTGAGTATCCTATCATTTGAACTTTGTCACCAGCCTGAGGTAAATAATGTTATCTGAGCAAGGAAAAATATTATAATGAAGCATTAATTTACTAAGAAGGAAGTCATTCTTTCTGCTTGTCACCTAAAGTTAATTTTACTTCTTCCTATAGTTATTTTAAAGATCACAATTTGGCTGTTTTAATTGAAGAGTTGGAAATTATTTCAATATTAGATTTTTCCTAATATGTTTTTTTTCTTTTTAATCAGATACTTATTGAGCAGATTTGTACACAAGTGATGCATAAACAGCATCCTGACCCAGATTCAACAGTGAAAATACAAAATCCCCGTAAGCATCTGTGTTTCTTTCAGATAAACTATTAGAGAGCTGTGAATGGTGCTTTATGTCTTTCAAAAAGGGAAAAAGCATATTTCTTATATTTATGTTTGCTTTCCTAATCTAACATTTGCTTCTTTTAATTTTTAAAGGTTTGTTTTTTAGGAATAGTAACTTCAGTAACAATTTCAATTCTAGCATATATCTGTCTATCTAAGTTGGTATGACGTCATTGGAAATTAATTTAATTAATTTCCATTCTAAATTAACTATATCAGTGATGGGGAAAAATTGGCCTGATGCTTCAGTTTCTCAGATACTTGAAAGCTTTTCATTGGAATGATTATCTTAATTTTGTTAATATAAGAGCTGTTAACATGCACAAATGAGAGGTAAAAAGGAATAAGGCATTATACAGAAACCCCATATCCAGCAGCCTTGTTTAACTGTAACCCTGCAATAGGCCTTTAAGTATGTTCATTCAGATTCATTCATAATATTTTAGCAGTCTAGAAATATGCCTTATAGTCCTTATTATTTGTAGGGAAGCTTGGAACAAGATTTAGGTATATATAGTACACTTACAGCCTAGCAGTCTTTCATTATCAGTGTTCTATATTGGGAGACCTTAAATATTTATTATTATGTTTTCCTATTAACTCTTTCAAGTAAACATCTGCATAGGATTGCTATGGCAGAAAATAATAAATATAGAATTGTTTATTATTTTGGATTTGAATCCCAGAAAGTGTTTTGGAGCAGCTATGGAGATGACCATCTTTACAGCTCTTTTAAGGAACTGATCCTTTACTCCTTTTCTGAGGAAAGCAGCCATGCTATCCTGGGAAAAGATGCTCCTATAGGGACAATATGGTTCTTCACATTGAAGGGATATTATCAGCAATAAACTTGAAAGTTTTTAAAGATTATCACTATGCATTTCCAAGACAAATTAGTTAATTGATGTAGGAATGGAAAAATACAACAGTACTGAAAAACACTACTTCTGACTGTTTTTCACACTTATGACCGTTGCAGCATCCCCATGGTCATGTGATCAAAATTGAAATGCTTGGCAACTGACTCATATTTATGATGGTTGCACTGTCCTGGGATCATATGATCTCCTTTTGCATCCTTCTGATAAGCAAAGTCAATGAGAATAAGATTTTTATCCCCATCATCTATTCCGCCTATTTTTTCCCATGTTAAAAATTATTACATGGGTATATAACAAGAAGCAAAGTATAACTATTTTGGAATTATTCCTGGATCATTCTCTACAGTGTTCTATGCATACAGGCAATTTCAAGCAGTCACTAAATGAAGTACTGTAAGTTGAGGACTACCTTTAATTAGTAATAGACAGTTTGGAAAACAATATAGAAACTATATTTTCATTAACAAACCAGTTTGTGAATTAAATAATGGGAGAAGAAATATTGGTCCTTCAAATACACCCTTCTATCCTTTTACCTTGAATTTTTATTCTGGTTTGGGTATCATGCACCTTAAAATTCAATTTAACTATACAGCAATCTGAAAACACTCAATATTTTTATTAATTGCTTCCTGGGCCCAAGTCACAAGAGAAATCATATTGGTGAATTTCCCAAGGACCTCTGGGAATGTCTACTAAGAGACAGAAATCAGAAGCTGTATTTATAGATGGATAATGGATAATGATTGCATCTTCAAGTATACTTTTACAGCAGAACATATTTTCAATTAAGACAGGATGTTACTAAATTCAGACCAAAACCTTATGCTGTACAGATAATCCTTGACTTGCGACCATAATTGAGCCCAAAATTTCTATTGCTAAGTGAAATCATTGTTAAGTGAGTTTTGCCTCATTTTACAATCTTTCTTGCCACTGTTAAGTGAATCATAGCAGTTATTAAGTTAGTAACATGTTTCTTAAGTAAATCTGCCTTTTTCATGTTGATTTTTAAAATTGTTATGTCTTCCAGAGATTCTGAAAGTTATTGCTGTTTTACTACGTAATTCCCCACCATGCTCAGAAACCCTGGAAGTCCACCGAGTCTTCCTATCAGACATGATTAAGCTTTTTAATAGCAGCAGAGAGAATAGGAGGTAAGATCATAATATATATATTATAATATATATAAAGATATATTATAATGTATCTTTAAAAATTATTATTTCAAGCTGCATGATTAAAAATTGTTTTTAAGCTAAGAACTGGTCTCAAATTCTTCACATGGTTTATTCAATTGCTAGCTGAATCAAGTGTTTATTAATCTCATTAATTCCTGTTGGTGTTTAAGATAGATCTTAGTTATCTTTAAATTGTATTTTCCTGCTTTCTTCAAAGTTAATTTTCAATTTGTGTTTGCAATTTTTCAGAAGTTTACTGCAGTGTTCTGTGTGGCAGGAATGGATGCTTTCCCTTTGCTATTTTAATCCCCAAAGCTCTGATGAACAGAAGTTAACAGAAATGGTGTATGCCATTTTTCGAATTCTACTTTATCATGCAATCAAGTATGAATGGGGTGGCTGGCGTGTTTGGGTGGATACCCTAGCAATTACACATTCAAAGGTGAGTTATGCAAAAACAATTCTAATTCTGATTTTTAAAGAAATTTTTTAAAGAACTTTGAAGGGCAATTTGGTGAGTTTAGCAAAAACAAAAGCTTCACTGAAATTAACTAGAGAGAACAAATAAGGGAAGGTGTCAATATTCCATAAAGCAATGTTTAAAAATATTTAGTGCAATGCTTGTGTAATTTCATGCACCAGTTTGGTATGAGAATAGCTAATTTTATGTTCAGAAAACTTTGTTTTATTATGAACTAACTGTGCAGTTAAACCATATAAATTTGAAACACAAGGTGGCGCACCTTGCCTATTTCTACTTTAGAATAAAGCCCTTTTCTTTTATGGAGAGGTTGAGCAACAAATTATTGATAAAACTGAAGCAAAGACTATTTCTATCCAAACAAAGAGAGGAAAGGTTGTTGGAAGAAGGTTTCTTCTTGAATAAGAAATAAAATAATATTCCTACTACTACTAATATATATATATATATACAACTATAATAAAATTGTGATGGAAAGAATTTTTTTATAATGGAGGTAACCTTTTTTCAACTAGACATAGATTTTAGAATAAAGTTGCAATGGCTGCCACGGTGGTTCCTTCTTCTATTCCCCCAAACATTTTTAATATGATTCTGGGTGGATTTCCATATGGGGATTTACAATGTAAGAAAAATAAAGAGATTTTTGCCTCCTGTTACACCATGAATTATGGACACCTGGTGTGTTGACAGCACAGTTCAGGTACAAAAAATGTTCTTTAAGCTATATGGATGTCAATGTCTTATGAGACCATCATATTTATAAAGTGAAACAACAGATACTCTCTTTCCAGATTATGATTTTACTTACATAGATTGTGTTTAAAAGGTGTTTATGAATTATGTTTGATAATTAAGATTCTGGATTAATATTTAATTTGCAATTTATTCTTTTGAATTGTAGAGGGTTGAAATTAACATTAATAATTTTCTTAAATTGTGTATAGTTTATAGAGAAGATAATGGTTTTCTAGTGCACTTTTCCCTCCTGTTTTGTTCATAATAACTTTTATTTATAAAGCTATTTTTCCACCATTAATATACAACTATTAATTTTTAAATTAGGTCTGGTACTGGACACCTGACATCAATTTAACATTGATTAAATATTTCCATACACCTCATACCAAATGTTCCAACATGAACATTTGCTTATGAATTCATAGATATTTGTAGGAAAATAAATATTAACATTGCTAATAACTCTAGATATAAATTTGGGACTGCACTGTTTTGACATAAAATGATCTTATATGAATAGCTGCCAATTAGAACATACATATATACATACGTGTATATGTGTGTCATGTAGTATATACATAGCATATAAATGCTATAAGAAACAACACTTTTCAATTTCTGCATTACATAGATTTTGATAGTTGATATATTCGTATTCTGACCTAGGAAATTATTATTTAAATTAATATTAAGTTTATCACTTAATTTTTCAGTCCAGTAAAATTATAAAAAATAGCTTTTGTTAAGAATACTGTTTTCATTACTAGTTTATGTATTTTTATACTCATTTGAGACTCGGTCTCTACATGTCACTTTCAGCCAGGTTTGCTTCCAGTCAGATGTAAAGTGGGATGGCTAAGTGATGATGGGACCAGTTTAAGGATAAGAAGATGTTTATTGCCAGAGTTCATTATTTAGTCAATTTATAATAGAGAAATATGGTGTCTCAACCACTAGTTCTGTGGGTTAAATCAGCCACTGTTTCTACATTTCGGTCTTAACAATGCAAGAGTAGGGTGACATGTGATGTTGAATTCAGGTTAATTCACTTTAATTATCCCTGTGACATATCACCTGCATGAACTAAGATTTATCTACCTCAGTGTTGCAACATATATTGTTAAAACTGTCATTGTTTTTCTAGAGTAGCATTTAAAATTAGTAATAAAATAACCTGTTTTAATTAAATTTCTCTGTAAATGTTCTGAAGACAAAGATTCTCAAAACTTTCTTAATAATTGTTACTGAATTCTGAATTTTCTGGAAGTGTTAGTTTGAATAAGTAAAGTAAGCTTTTTTTTTTTACTGTTTCAATATGCTCAAATTCATAAGACAAAATTTCCTTAAACTGAGTCAGAGTAATTTTACAAATTTTGTATGCTTTAATTTATATTTCAGCTCTATTTCATTTATGCATCAGCCACTGTCTATTCATACTCTATTGTGTACTTTTTTTTTGGTGAAGAGCTTGTGTAGAAAGAACTAGTATTGCAAAATTGGATAGATTTTGCAGAGCTGCACATCAAGATACATGGAGCTGCTATAAAAAGCCAAAGAAACTCAATTGCAATTTTATTGTCCAGTTTGATAGATTTCCTGCCACCTTTGTAGCAGGCAAGCCGTTTGTCACTGTAGCCTCTTTTCCAACTGCAGTACTACGCTTTATAAGCAGTGATGGCTTTTGTGGCATAATTGCACTACCTAGGTTTCTTTTGCTCTCAGGATTTGAAGGTGTACATAATCCTATTATAGTTAAAGCCTGTTGTAATGCTCTGATTAAAAAAAGATTCAGTATTTTTTTATATCTTTCCTACCTCTCATTTCTGCCCTTTTCATTATATAGTGTATAAAATAACTTGATTTTTCTGCCTAGTCTCTGTATTAGTCCTGAGCAGAATTAACCACAAAAGAACCCAGATAGAAGCTATTTCTATTGTCATTTCTTCACTTGTGAGCATGTTTATTTCTTCTTTACTTTTGCTAAATCCTTGTAACTTCTTAAAGTGAATTTATTTTTTGAAAATATATTTTGAAGTAACTTGGATAATTAATTTAAATACCAAAATTAATTAATTTTATGTGTGTGTGTGTGTGTGTGTGTGTGTGTATGTGTGTGTGTTCGTAGATTTTCACGGGTGTAGGTCAATGTTCCCTCTAATTTTTTTTCAGTGTGTGCGGAAAAGTATAGTGTTCGAGCGGCACATTTTCATGCCTGAGCACCTGATTTTTTTTTAGCCATAATTGCCATCAGAGCAGATGTTGGGAGGGGGGCAAGGAGGAAAAGGGTCCCCTCCTTCTCCCTCAGACCCCCAGGAAGGAAGGGAGGGAAGGGAGGGAGGGAGGGGGAGGGAAAGGAAAGAAAATGGGAAACAAGAAAACAACAAGTGCCTCTCCT